ACCGCAGCCACCACAGCCGCCACAGCCGCCACAGCCGCCACAGCCGCCACAGCTGCCACAGCCTCCACAGCCACCGCAGCCACCACAACCACAGCAACCCATGATGTCAGTAAAGAGGACTCGGGTGAAGTGAGGAGAGAGACTCAGGAGAGGACAGAGAAGTGTGATCTCACTTCTGCTGGGGGAGCCCCTTATATACTCCCTCCAGGGGGAAAAGCAGCACACGTGACCACTTCCTTATCATTTGACTCAGTTGTCACGAGAGAATCTCTGACCCATTATTTACTTCCGTTTGGAATGTCAGCTAGGTTTCTTAGATTACTTCCTTTGTTCCTTTTCCTAGTTATGTACCTAAAGTTACAGCAAACCAGCATCTCTTGGCCCACTGAGAAGGCCCACGTAGTACCACTCGCGATGTTTGAACTGATGGTTTCACATCTGAAGGACACATTAACCATTATCAGGAAACTCTCAGCATGGTACCATTTCTTACCCAAAACTGAAAAGAAAGAAAGAAAAATCTCAGGCACAAATGTCATTGTCAAAGAACCCAAACAGCCCTGGCAGAGCTTGTCCGCTGAGCAACGGAAGATCTGCCTCGGTCCTCCTACACAGTTATAGCATGAGGTGCCATTTTAATACCCAGTGTCTTTAACACGGTGTGGTTATCTAGAAAGCTTACGGAATCCCTCACAACATTCTATGATCTGTTTTCTTTTTATAAACGCCTACTGGACTTTAATGGGTAAAGATTATGTAACAGAATGAGAACTTAATTGGGGTATTTGAAAAATTGTATCCATCGATATTTAGAAGGAAAATCTGCATGTCAAGTTATTGGTCTACAGTAGTAGACACATACAGAGAAAATAAATGGGACAGACAAGGGTGGGGTGGGGTAAATTATCATACGTGAAGAAATTTCATCTTAACTGAATATTTGGTTCTTTAGTGAGCAATATTTATAAAAATAAAATAATCATCAATGTCAGCATTTGCTAAAAATAGTGATACAGGTATGCCGAAAGTGACATGGAAGAGTTAAATTGCCACTGATCTGAATATAAACTAACATTGCCGGTTAAAGAGAGACCGTGTAGCAGAGTTAAGAAGAAACATGGAGATGGCAAGCAGCAGAAACATGGCCCTGCTTCTGCAGTTGGAACTGGGCATGCATGTTGGGTAGGAAAGGGCATGGAAATACCAGAAACATACAGGCACATTTAGTTAATTAGAGTTTCAGACTTGTTCAAAATCTCCAACATGGTCAGCATCACATACCTTCACTTGGTCATAGTGACATATGACACAGTGGCAACACCATTACTCAGCTTTAAAACACAAGCCAGACAAGGAGCACGGGGTCAGCTTCAGGACCTCTCAGCAGGAACACGGTGGGACCCCCATGCATCTTAGTTACCTACTTGAGAAATACTTTCCTTCTAGGTGAGTTCCAGCAACTATACTGCTTGGAAACAATAGATGGGAAATGCTGTGGGGAGATGGATGTTTTACCTTGGCATTGACATTCTGAGTCAGAAAAACACCCTTTTTTGGAGGACTGTCCTGTCTATTGTAAGAAACTGAGCAACATCTATGACCCAAGCCAGGAGAAAAGACCTCTCTCTCTCTCTCATGTACGACACCTGAAAATGTCTTAGTCAAGTGAGTGCTGAAGGCAAAATAGTCCCCTGAGATTGTAATCCACTATTCTATGAAAGTGTAAGGGGAATATCACATACCCTGGCAACCTAAGAGGGGAGGGGTATTCACAATTTTCCCTTTGAAGTATGCATCAGAATTTGGTATAAAAAATTCTTCTTTCCTCTTGAACTTTGGTGAGACTCCCTGGGGTCCATGATCCTGGATGATAACTTTCTTGGTGTCAGGTGGAAGGAGATGAGGGACTTGCTCCCTCTCTTAAAGTCCCTCTCTTATTTGCATTTGGCATCATTCTCACAAATAGAATGTGTTCTGACATAAATTAATCTCCGTTGTTGTCTCCTACACCCCCTCCTCCTCATCTTCCTCCTCCTTTCTTTTTCATGGGAATTCAAGTCGAAAGGAACCATAGTTTATTTGGGACATGAAGCCAGCTAGTGCTGGAGGCTCTGGACCATTTTGCCACCCACCCTGGAAATACATGAAAAGAAAGGAGGGTATTTTTAAGCCAGTCTAAGAAGTTCACTTGGAAATACATGACAAGTTGTCCAAACCAGGTTGCTTTCCTGTGAATCAAGGGAAACATGACATCCTAGCATTCTGTCTAGACACTTGGAGTCTGAGGGGTTTAAGGGACTTTACCTGGTTTTAAGGGGAGATAGCTTCTCTCCATGAATCAGAGTGGAGATGAAAATAGGGCGGGCCCCTCTGAAGCCTGGGAAAGACATGGAGCGGGAGATGAGGGACCCTGATATATGACCAGGAGGTGCATTTACACCACATGAGACCACGAGAAGGTAATACATGAGCTTGAAAACTGACGTTCTAACAAGACTACCTATGTCGAAAATGTGTTTTTTACTAGAAGCATCCCTGAAGGAAGTAAATACTAAAGTAAGCAAGTCTGTGAGGTGAGGTGCACTCCATGAGGAAACACACTCAGGGTCTTGTGAATTCTCTCAAGGAAGCTGACAAAACAAGGAAGTGGCTATCTGACTATATGGGTCCACAGGTGTATTTAAGGGCCCCTTGAAGCAAAGGCAATCACACCTCACTCTCCTCTCTCCTGAGTCTCTCTCCTCACTGCACCTGAATCCTCTCTACTGACACCATGGGTTGCTGTGGCTGTGGTGGCTGTGGCTGTGGTGGCTGTGGCTGCGGTGGCTGTGGCTGTGGTGGCTGTGGCTGCGGTGGCTGTGGCTGGGCTGTGGCTGTGGCTGTGGGAAGGGCTGTTGCCAGCAGAAGTGTTGCTGCCAGCAGAAGTGTGGCTGCAAGAAGTGCTGCTGCTAGGATGGCTGTTGTCTCTGCTTCTAAACTAAGTACAGCTTGGAGCCTTGCTGGCTGCATTTGGTAAGACTTTTGGCCATCCTGCTGCCTTCCCTCCTTCTGGTCTACCCACATGCACTGGAAATGCTTTTCCAGTCTTTGGTACTCTGAAGTTTCAGAGTTGTTTCTTCACCTTCTTTGTGATGTCAAGGCTCTTAAAATTCTTCCTGTCTTTTAGGACTTTGTGCTCCATTGCTGTGGGAAGGGCTGTGGCTGTGGCTGTGGCTGTGGGAAGGGCTGTTGCCAGCAGAAGTGTTGCTGCCAGCAGAAGTGTGGCTGCAAGAAGTGCTGCTGCTAGGATGGCTGTTGTCTCTGCTTCTAAACTAAGTACAGCTTGGAGCCTTGCTGGCTGCATTTGGTAAGACTTTTGGCCATCCTGCTGCCTTCCCTCCTTCTGGTCTACCCACATGCACTGGAAATGCTTTTCCAGTCTTTGGTACTCTGAAGTTTCAGAGTTGTTTCTTCACCTTCTTTGTGATGTCAAGGCTCTTAAAATTCTTCCTGTCTTTTAGGACTTTGTACTCAATTGGTATATGTTTGCTGTAATCTTTCTAATCTTGACTAGCACATATTCTCAACATCACAGGTAACGGCAAAGCTATTTATATTAATCAAAATATATTTATATTATGAGCTTCACAATGAAAATTTCTAATATGTCACTTGATTAAAGAAAATAGTTATGGCTAACTTTTTACTCTTTTGTTACATATATTCATTAACTTTTTCCGAACTCTGCAACTTTGTTTAAAATGAAAGTGACTCATTCTCAATAAATACAACAAAAATCTAATCTACTCTAATGTGTCTGTCTGGTGTGTAAAAATGCGCTCACTTGCATGGGGTAAGTCAATGGGATAGGAGAAGGTGACATTCAGACTCCAGAGAGGTTCAGTTGGTGGGTGGCTAGTCCTTATCATGTCTTAGAATAAATTTTACAATAAAGACAGAAACTAGGAGAGGATTTCCAGCCTTTTGACCATCAGTGTCCTGCCAGAAAATCTCAGCCCTCTCCTACAGGGACCGTCATGACCTGAAACTGAACAACATCTGGAGTATTGGACAGCCACACCCTACTGCCACCAACGCCAGCAAAGTGGTGATGAGTGCCATATTAGCCCAGGTTTCTGGTCAAGCACTAGATACCCAAAGATAAACAAACCCTGGTCCTCAAAGAGTCAGCATCAAAGAGGGAAATGATAAATCAGCATGAATTATGGCAGCTTCCTAATGTCTGCTATTCTTTGATGGGTCACCCTTTCTCCACTCCTGTCCAGACTATGTAACTAGATTTCTGTGCACTTTGTGGAGTCATATTACAGACTACTGACTGATGCTAATTCCCTAGCTGGGTGAGTTGACCACACTTTCCACAATCCTTGAACAAGAGCACAACTCAGAAATCATCCCATGCCAGCCCCCCCTTCTGTGGTTACACCCCACCCTCTCCTCTCCCCTGAAGCTAAGACCTACCATTCCTACACATCCAAGTTTAACATTAACACTGCCTGGCCCTGGAGAAATTCCAGCCTGGGAGAAAAGTTTACTCTAGGCTCCTCTGATGAGAGCCCTCCTCAGGTTTATTCTGAGATGGACTTGCCCTCTCCTCAGAACTGCACCAAGCCTTTCTCTTCTTAGGCATTTGACATTTGACCTCCCAGTGACTGTTACCGAACTGATCATTGGGCGGAACTGACCAACCTTCCCCCAAACCCTCCTTCCTGCACCCATTCCAAGGAGCTGTGGTGCCTTCCTGGCTGCTCTTTTGCCTCCTGCTATTTTATCTAGCTACTCCTTCCACCACTGGAACCCTAAGTCTCAGACCCTCGATAGTTTTCTTCTCACGACCTGGTATTCAACAGATCTATGTATTCACATGATCTATGTTCTCACATGGTCTATGTTCTCACATGATCTATGTACTCACATGATCTATGTTCTCACATGGTCTATGTTCTCACATGACCTATATTCTCCCATGATCCCCTCTCTCCACTAATTTTCATTTCCAAGGAACTGACCACTTTCTAACAACCATAACATTCACACCCTTACCGTGCTTATGGGTTGATGCTCCCCTCACCTACTCCCGTCTCCAACTAGAATGTAAACGCTTCAAGGAAAAGATCAGTATTGACAGAGCCAAGGCACCTAGAGGAGTGACAGACAGATGCATAGTACCTAATTCATAACTTGTTAATAAGTAATTTTTAAGATGTGATTTTCTTATATGCAAAAGTTGAGAACAGTGCCCACACTTTCCAAGAGCCACACTCAAGTCAGCAATTATCTAAGGCTGTGAAGCTACTCATCCCCTTTCCAGCCCAGGATCCAGATCTCAGCAAACACACCACATTACTGTGAATGAATCCCACTGGATGATGACCACTGCTATTCATTAACAAAGAAACAAAGCAACCTCTCAAAGTTCAAGTCTTCTTTCACAGATGGGTGTGGGGCAGACCAAGACACCTTTCACCTTTCCAAATATGCCAAACACACTCTGGGAGAGCCAGTTTTGCAAAAACAGTATGTTGCACAATGCACAGAATTCTCCCACACTCAAGGTGTGGCTACACACTCACAGACAGCCTTTTCACAAACCATAGGGGTGGGGAAAAAAAAAAACCCGAGGCATTACAGAGATCCAAGACACCTGCAGGACTGTTAACCAATTTCATTTCTACTTGCTGGGAGCATTTTTAAATCAAACAGGGTTTCTTTGCAGACCTAATTTTTATTTCCCATAAATTATTTTTTTAAAATATTCTTAAGCATTTCCATTTTAACCAGCTGGAAATCTATGTTAAGTAGATAAATTTTTTTAAGGCTTTTGATAGTTCAGTAGTACATACTCAAGGACCTGGGGACTATTTGTACAAACACTCTTTTTTTTATTTTTTGGTTTTCGAGACAGGGTTTCTCTGTGTAGCTTCGGAGCCTATCCTGGCAGTCACTCTGGAGACAGGGCTGGCCTCGAACTCACAGAGATACGCCTGCCTCTGCCTCCGGAGTACCTTTCTCCTGATTCTTGGTTGAAATAAATGAATTCATAGAAAAGACAACGGGGCAGAGAATCAGCCCTACTACATGAACACTGGAGAGTCAGCGCTTTGCTTGAGGTCACTATCTTCAGGTACTTACTGGCTTCACTTTTTTTATACTTTATTGTTTTATTTGAATTAGAAACAAGATTTTTTTACATGTCAATCCCAATTGCCACTCCCTCCCCTCCTCCTCTACCACCGACCCCGCCGCCCCAGCTAATACCCTACCTATCACATATCTTTCTGCTCCTCAGGGAGGGTGAGGCCTTCCATAGTGTGTCATCAGAGTCTGTCATATCCTTTGGGATAGGGCCTAGGCCCATCCTGGTGTGTCTTGGCTCAGGGAGTATCCCTCTATGTGGCTTCACTTTTTAGCCCAGGACACTCGGGCTCAGGGACCTGGGATTCTAGCCTGTAGATCAAAACCCTGGGGGCTTCATTAGCATATGCAAAGTTGGGAGTGGACTTTGATTCAGCAGGAGTGACCCAGCGGCCAAGTCCACCTTTACTTGAATTCACCTACATAGCTGAAGGTGCTAGATGTCCCGGGCAAGTGAGCAACACCCGCTTCCAAAGGTAAGAAAGACCTTCCAAGGAGTGGAATTAATTAAATTAATTAACTCCAGGAACCTGAAGTCACCTGCTTCTCTCTGAGGGCTATCTTGGAGGACGGGTCGGGGTGGGAGACTGCAGAGGAGTGTGCCTTAGGCATGCACCACGCCAGCGAACAGAGCAGCTGGCTTCCGCGCCTGGGGCCTTCTGTGATCTGCTGTGTTCCTTGCTTGCTGGAACCCACCCAAGTTGGTCTAGCCAGGATTCCTGTACCGCCCTCCGCAAGAGTAAAGGCCATTCAGGTCTGGTGCCTGCAGCTGCCATGGTCACACCCAGCTTCCCGTGTTTTAACTAAAAGCAATTTTAGCACAGAATGTCAAATCCCAAGCCAAAAGAATGAAAAGTCCCTTATAAAGGAGGAAAGGAAGAGCTAACTTTGAGGATAGAAGAAACAAGGCTGTTGAGAACTATTTTAATAGAAACGAAAATAAAACCATGTATCTATCAAGTTAGTGCCTCTGCGGTAAGGAAATATTTTCTGGAATTGTTAAGAGCCCCGATTCTACCAGGATACACACACACACACACACACACACACACACACACACACACACACACACACACACACTGCTGTCTCCTAAGGCAAACAGCATTTTTGTATTAAGCATACATTTTAAATAGACCTAGACATTAACTAATATTCCAAATATGTTTTTCTTCATGTTGCCTCACAAGTAGCAGAAATGAAAAACATACCAACTTTGTTCAGTCAGTTTTGCTAATGGAGCGACTTCTGTAATGGAAAATGCACCTCAAAAATTCCAGAATGTCAAAGAACAACATTTGAGCAATTTAATTTAATGGCCCAAGAGGATTCTAGAACAGACACTTCCTTGGGATGGGCAGACAGGTGGATTCATAGAAAGTGTGAAGACTAGACAAGTCATTTCAGGATTAATGTCTCTACGTGGGGGTGACAGAGGCAGAAAAACAGGAAAATAAGTGACAAGTTAACTGTAGGTAACTATTTTTTTCTGTAAGAATTAACTCAGAGGGAACTTCATTATTCAACTAACAGCTTAGCTACACCATAGTAACACAGGACTTTGGCATGAATAGTTTGGTTTTTAGCCAGTCTGTGGGGGACTAGTGCTGGCACTTCATCAGGTTATTCAACTAACAGTTTAGCTACACCATAGTAACACAGGACTTTGGCATGAAGAGTTTGGTTTTTAGCCAGTCTGTGGGGGACTAGTGCTGGCACTTCATCAGAAAACAATGGCCTCTGTAATTTTTTTTAATCTTACAGACATAGTTAAAGATGAGTTTATTATTCTGCTCCCCCACCATCACCATTAACACAAAGTTTTCTGGTCTTGGCCTGGTTGAAATCGGTTCCTTAAATTGTGAGAACCCAGAAGAATCAGTTCTGGTAATCTGTAATCTGTGCTTGCACAAGAAGCAGTCTCAGCTGGTCATGTGCCAAGATCTGGATGGAATACAATGGAATACTTCCACAGCACACGTTGTGGTTACCTGAGCCATCCCCCTGACCCAACCTTCTGTCTTTTAGGAGAAGTTAGACACAGGACAAGCTGGAGCCAGGAGGAACAGAGAGGTTCAGATTTCAAAGTCCGGGTCTTTCCACAGACCCACATTGCCACTGCAGACTCAAACCTAATGAAGAAGGAGTAAAACAAACAAGAAATAAAACCCCCAGCTTGGGAGAGTTTGCAGCCAAGACAGGTAGACAGCTTAACAACTTCAAGGGAGTCTTTCTGAGTCAAGAATAAATAGATAAAGGTGTTAATGATTTTAAGTCAGTAGGATGGACACTAGTAATGGAAGAATGGGTACATTCATGGAACAGGGACATTGAATATTGATTGAGTAATGAAATGCCGATTGGGATGATTGACACTAATTTCTATGAGAGAAGAATATTGCCTCTTCCCTAAGTAAATCATATTTGCATAGCTATAGGCAAGAAGGTTTTTTCCACACAGTTATCAGTTACTACAATACAGCTATAAAATAGATGGACTGATCTATACTTTTTTTTCCCTGAAACACAATTTCCCCCCACCCTCATTGGATGCTTTTGTCAGGTCCTCCCCCTTCCATGGAGGTCCACATGGAGGCTGTATTGGTTGGCTTTCTGGCTAAGCTGCTCCCTACTGAATAGCTTTGTTAGTTAGACATCTCCCTCCGGTTAAGTCAAGCTATAGACACGCAGAGAATAAAAATATGTGGGGAGATGCCAGACCCAAATAAAAAGAGTAGTGCATACATGATAAAATAGAGCCTGCAACATGGGCTTCCAGTATCATGTGTACTTTGACCGTGGCTTTGTCCCAAAAGAGAACCATTCTGTTGGGTTTATTGGGTAGCTGGGCCCAATTCACACCTTTTTACGCTGTGCGAATGCTTCTTCAAACCGCTGCGGTTGGGGAGTTGGCATGAAGCTTTACCAGCGAGTTTGGTATACCTTCCTACTTTTCTCAGTGCTGAAGTCAGGTGGTACCGTGTTCTAGAGAAAGTAGATGACTTTAATAATACCATTCTGAGTCAAGTGGAGTTGTTTTGAATTTTTTGTTTGTTTGTTTGCTTGTTTTTGAATTTGTAGACCTTTGTAATCATTTGCGTTTCTGGAAGCTCTGAACCTAGGTGCTTGGTTTATTTAACAGAATTCCAAAAGAGGGTGGAGGGGCATGCGCTCTGGAGCAAAGAGCCTTCCGGAAGGGGCCAGGGCCGTTGCCTGCCCGTGGCAGATTGGCTTTTAAGGAACGCCTTCCTCCGAAGCTGAAGTGACTTGCAGCTGGCCGTGCTTTGCAGCAGCTCGAAGGAGTGTGAGTCTAAGGCAGGAAGCCAGTCCCCAACTCAGGACGCTGAAGAAAGAGGTACTTGAGCTGTCTGAATTAGTCTGAAGGGGCCAGACTTAGGCTTCTCCATTTGTCCTAGATTTGACTATTTGACTACTATTTCTGCTCTAAATTTTCTAGGATAAACCCAAACTCAAAGACAGTGTTCAGTTTGCCCTCGTGCGAATTGGAATTACCGCAGTCACTGTACCTGTAAGGAAAATTGAGCGCTGCTGTAAAAAAAACGCTTTGGAGGAGAGGGGAGTGGGAGGCTGCCTTTCATCATACTGAGGTGTGTAAGTTACTTTCAACACAGAGAGCAGATTTAAGTTTGAGTGTTTGTAATTAAACCCCTACTTGTAATTAGCTCATTAAGGTTCAGGGTATATAATAACCCAGAAAGTGTCCTCATGGAGCCACGCCCCCTTCCCAGCTCCCCACCTCAGAGTTCTGGTTTCAATCAACCATGAAATACTGTAGTTTTGCCTGCTTAGGGACAAGGTATAAATGGAATTCCTCGATATGTCCTTTGTGTGTCTGGATTCCTTTATGGAACATAGTGTTTGAGGTTAATTTACTTTTGTTCCAGATATTCTACAAGCATATGTATATACATATGTATGAATCTTTGTTTGAGTATAGCCTCCCTATGCTAAGATGTACCTTATGAGTCTATACTACATAAATTTGGATACAAACCTACAGCCATCACCACAGCCAAGCTGTAGAGAGAAGAGAGCATTCTTTTCTCTCTACAAACTTCCATGTTCACTGTTGCTCTTGTTCCCTCCGCTAACCCCATCCAAGGCAGCCACCAATCTGCTCCTGTCTCTTTAGGTTAGTCTTTCTTGCCTGTGGCTCTGTGAGTGTGGAGGGCGGGGTCTTCTGGAAGATCATAATGACTTATTTTTATCCATCCTCGTCTTGCAATAGTGTGGTCCCTTTAACTGTCCATTGTTACTGGTTGATAAAAAGTATACTGTGTTTCATGTTCATTTCCCCACTTGACAGACACTTCAGCTGTTTCTCACTTTTCACCCCCTCATGAAAACATGAACTTCCTTGGATGGCTTGTCAAATGGCGTTCAAAAAAGTTGGCACTGTTTTGTCCTTCGGCAAAACAGCGTATACACATTCATTAACTTGAAATCCTTCCCAGCATTAGGTATGCTTGCTCATCAGTTTCCTTTAGCCATACCAGCGACTGTGAGTCATCATTGGCAGTTTTGGTGTCTGATTTCTGAGAACTTCTGAAGAGTATCTCTCTATACTTCCAGACAGCCACGTTTTTGTAAAGCTTTCAGATCTCAGGCTCATCTTTTATCCCTGAGTTGTAAGAATTTATTACACATTTTGGATGGCATTCCTTTGACAGAACTGGTATTGTGTTTGATTTTTCTTAGGTCTATAGCTTCCCGATTTTTGAACAGTATCTCTCAATGAGCAAATATGTGTCATGTTTA